TGACTTTTATAACCTATCCAATTTAGTCTGTTTTATTCACGGATTTGTCGATTACATCATAAACTATCAAAACCTAACAAACGGGAACATCAGTGACGTTTTACAGAGGCAGTAATTGTAGAGGTCCATCAGCTTCACTTTCTCTCCACGAACTAAAATTATACATTTATGGTATGACTCCTATTTGAATAACAAACGACTCATACACATACCCGCAAAATCCATATGTGCTTGTCAAGTGACGTTCTTTAACCCTTCTTCTTGTGCCCTTTCAGTTTGTTCAATATGATACTTTTGCGATGCGTTTCGATCGAACATCAAGTATTACAAATATATATGTGCCTATGCGAAATATATGCGTAATTATGCGTTAGTTAATTTTTAATATTTTTAATTGATAAATAAATAAAATATTGCATTTTTAAATTTTATACATATTTTTCAAAATTTTCTAATATATATTGCTCAAAATCATAATACTACAATTATTTGAACTTTATATATTCTTCAAATTTTCAACAACAACATATTACTAAAATTTTTAAATATTATAATTACTTACACCCACTTAAAAAAATCCCAAATATTGTCGACTCTTTAAGGATTTCAATTTAATCTCAACTTCTTCATCTAAATCATCTTTCATGTCATTCAATGCAAAATCATCTTCGTCGAGCTTTCTTATTTCCAACTCAAGAATTTCTATTACATTTTGTAGATGGTAAGATATTTTGCTAACCTTCTCGTCATAACAACCATAAGCAATCCAAATTTGTGCATTACTAACATCATTTGCTAGTAAAACTAGAGGAAGATCAAAGGAGGAGGATTGAGCTCGATGTAGATAGTTTGCAACTCTACGAAAAAATTGTTTTGATTTTTTATTTTTTTTGGGTGATTTGGATTAATTTTATTTTTTAAGTTATAAAAATGGGTTGAGCGTTGATAGGCTAATTTTAACACATTTTTTCAATAAAATTACGTACGCATTTTTACGTTTAAGCGTGCCCCGCATTATAACACTTATATCCTATATGCGAGACGTTTTGAAAACGTTTTGTAAATCATATGCGTGCATTTTAGAATATTGACGCAAATATATGTATAGAACTATGTTCGAAGGTTACCTTGTGAAGAGGGTCTGATCGGTGGAGAGATTCTGAGGAGCTTGAAGAATTCAGGAGAGAAAGTGATGGGACTGCTAAATTTTAGTGGTCCATCAACTTCACTTTTTCTGCAATTCACGAACTTAATAGTGGGTGAAAATTGAAGTTGGTTTTGGATGGTTTTTGATTAGGAGGGAAATATGAAATGACGTATTTGCCCTTTTTAATTTATCAAATTCTCCCCTTTTATTGGGATTTAAAGGTAAATTTGGTTGATTTAGACAATATGAGAGTTTTAGGGGTTTTATGCGATTTCTAATAATTATGTGGTATATTGCACATGAAAATATTTCTAGAAAGTTTTTTGTTATTAATCCTACAAAATATTATGTCATTAATTAAATAACATTCAAAGGATAATTAGACATTGTTTGAGCCACATTTTTGTAGAATGAGAATGAAAAATATAGTCGTTATTGGGGCTTACACACGAAATGGAAAATTTGAATTTAATGTTGATGTGATTAATACATGTCATATTTTTCATTTAATGAGAAAATAAGGTGGCTCAAACGAGAGCTTAAAGATATCTAACGAACTTTCAGTTTGTTATATTAAAAATATATTAATTTATCATCAAAAATTCATCTATAAATAAATAGTAAAATATAAAAAATAAATATTAACGATTAAATTTTTTGTAGATAATGAAGCAACAATTAAAAATGAATTTACACCTTGTTTGATCTCCATTTTTAAAAAAATACATTATTCACTCTTTTCTTTTCAACAACACATTCTTTAATAAACTAATATTATACGCAATCCAAAAACTTTTTCTTCATTTTTAATCACACGTTTTCCGTCGATCGACTATTTCAAAATGCATTCTACTAAAAAATTGGAGCTCAAACATGCCCTTATTCAAAATTATTAATTAAAAATACAAAGACATTTAGAGCCTGTTTGTCTACCATTATTGGTAGAAAAATGGTGTAAGGAATAATATTTTTTGAAGAATGTGTGGTTGAAATTTAAAGTAACTTTATTGATTTGTGTGTAGAATATTTTATTGAGTGGATATGTGGTTGAGATTATTTACTGTAAGAAACAACGTTTTGTAAAAATGGTAGACAAACATGGGCTTAAATTTGCTGACTTTGAACCTGTCTGGCAACGCTGAGAAGCAGAATTTCAATAGTTGAGAAGCAAAAATTCAACCGTTGAGCCACTGTTCTTGCTGTAATTGTTGACCATGTGTGAGACAGGTGGCGCCCGCCTTCATAGTTAACGGTCAAAAAATCAATACCTTGGAGGAGGAAAATCGTTGCCAGACTATTCTACTAGTAACCATTTTAAAAAATAAAGTAAGAATAAAATTTTATCCGTCGTTGTACCAACAACTTCTCTATTAGGATAATCGACTAATCACTATTGATGATTGTCAACGTTATTACCGTCGATAATAATTTGATGAGAGTCAGACGTTGGTGATAACCAATGATATCAATATTGGTGATTTTGTCTGAAATACCTGACAAATATTGATTTTATTTAGATTACACGCATTAATACTGCAGACGATTATTAACTAAAATTTTATAGGTGATCATTAGCAACATTTAATTTTTTGCTATTACTTTCTGAAAAATCCTTACATTCTTTATCTAAAAACCTCTATTACTTGAGCCACCTCTAAGATATATTTATGGTGGCTTATCTTTTATTACATTTCTCACAATTGCATATTAACTAATTGGCTCCCATTTTTAATTTTTTTTTAAAATTCATTTTCAACCATATATTTAATCGAATTCATAAATTTTATCAATTTTTCGACCATAAATTTCATAAACTATTGTAAAAAAATTACTAAAAATATTAATTTAGCTAAATCACACAAGCTCTAAACAAGGCATCTATATTACTATTATGATTTGCATTTTACAAGTTATTAATTCGCTCCGGATCCTGAATTGGATACGGATCCACCGGAATCCGACCCGATAAGACATGGAAAGTGACAAGTTCAACACTATTAGCGTGAGCGGACACACCCAGGTCGAAAATCAGCATTAATAAAGTTCACGATAAACCCAATTTTTTTATTGAGTGGATATGTGGTTGAGATTATTTACTGTAGGAAACAACGTTTTGTAAAAATGGTAGACAAACATGGGCTTAAATTTGCTGACTTTGAACCTGTCTGGCAACGCTGAGAAGTAGAATTTCAACAGTTGAGAAGCAAAAATTCAACCGTTGAGCCACTGTTCTTGCTGTAATTGTTGACCATGTGTGAGACAGGTGGGGCCCGCCTTCATAGTTAACGGTCAAAAAATCAATACCTTGGAGGAGGAAAATCGTTGCCAGACATCTTCTTTATATTCTACTAGTAACCATTTTAAAAAATAAAGTAAGAATAAAATTTTATCCGTCGATGTACCAACAACTTCTCTATTAGGATAATCGACTATATCACTATTGATGATTGTCAACGTTATTACCGTCGATAATAGTTGGATGAGAGTCAGACGTTGGTGATAACCAATGATATCAATATTGGTGATTTTGTCTGAAATACCTAACAAATATTGATTTTATTTAGATTACATACATTAATACTGCAGACGATTATTAACGAAAATTTTATAGGTGATCATTAGCAACATTTAATTTTTTGCTATTACTTTCTGAAAAATCCTTAAATTCTTTATCTAAAAACCTCTATTACTTGAGCCACCTCTAAGATATATTTATGGCTAATATATATTTATGGTGGCTTATCTTTTATTACATTACTCACAATTGCATATTAACTAATTGGCTCCCATTTTTAATTTTTTTTTAAAATTCATTTCCAACCATATATTTAATCGAATTCATAAATTTTATCAATTTTTGAACCATAAATTTCATAAACTATTGTAAAAAAAATTACTAAAAATATTAACTTAGCTAAATCACACAAGCTCTAAACAAGGCATCTATATTACTATTATGATTTGCATTTTACAAGTTATTAATTCGCTCCGGATCCTGAATTGGATACGGATCCACTGGAATCCGACCCGATAAGACATGGAAAGTGACAAGTTCAACACTATTAGCGTGAGCGGACACACCCAGGTCGAAAATCAGCATAAATAAAGTTCACGATAAACCCAATTCCTATAGAATTCGCCTTTACTCTCTCTAGAATTTGCACAACCCTCGCAGTGAATTGGGTTCGCCTTTAATCTCTAATAATCCCAATTGGATTCTCGCCCTACAGATTTTCTAAAAAAAATTAGTGTTTCTATGATTTTCCAGTTGTGTACAGATCTGTACAGCTCTGGGAACGATCATTTTGATGTTGTGGGCTTCTTGTGCTTTTTCTGATCTTTAGATTGACAAATTTATGTATTTATGTAGAATTTTTGTTAAAGATTGGAGCTTTAGTTCTGGGACTGTGTCAGCGTGTGAACATTTCTTTTGAATACATGTTTTAATTTGTTCATGATATGTAGCTCATAACACTGTCAGGATTATCGTCCAAATTTTTAGAGCCTTTTTTGTGTAAGTACAGGAGTTCGGATTCTGGGTGTTAAAAGTGTAGTTTAAGACAGGATTTGTAGAGGGTATATTGGTTTGTGAGATTCATTCGACTCGGATTTGCCCTTTAATCATTGAAATTGACAGTGTATAGGTGCATATCTTGTTTGGAGCTCATATTAGTGTTAGTAAATTATGTCATTTAAGAGTATACTTCAGGACATGAAGGGGGAGTTTGGGAGTATATCTCGCAAAGGGTTTGATGCGAAGTTTGGTTATGGGTTGAGGTCAAAGTCTCACCGGGTGGTTCAGGATAGTTCGATGACTTCAACAGATGCTTTGAAACAGAGTTGTTGGGCCAATATGCCACCTGAGCTCTTGAGGGACGTGTTGATGCGGATTGAGGAGTCCGAGTGTGCATGGCCTCAGAGGAAGAATGTCGTTGCTTGTGCTGGTGTTTGTAGGAGCTGGAGAGAAATCATGAAGGAACTTGTTAGAACCCTGGAAGTCTCTAGCAAGTTAACTTTCCCCATTTCCCTGAAGCAGGTTCGATTCGATGAGCATTTGTTTTAGTCTTTCTTTGATACTTTTAGACTATTCTACATGCTACATTATATAGATAGCTTGTTTGAGCCACATTAAGTAGACAAGTTAATAAAACATAGGTGTTATTTTTCTTTTTAGTATGTGAATTTGCATCCTATATTGGGATATACCATAAATCGTAACAAAAAATGTTGGTCGTTTGAAAATGCTTGTTGATTACTTAAATTGACATTCGTGAATTGAGAGGTGAATTTTCTTTTGTGTGGGATAGGAATGTGCTTGTGTTTATTTAATTTACTGCCATAATTTTCAAAATTGCAGGATTGCAGGATTTTTTATGTACCATTCTGTTTTTTCCACCGATGTTTACAAATGAAAAGTATACTATATATATGGTCTTCCCATCAATTAGCGAAAATCTTTCACATCAGGTTATGTTTAAATAATTATATATGTGGTATTGCACGCTGTTCATTATTATTCTAAGGCATTGTTTGATTGCCCTTTCTTTTCCATGGAAGATGGAAATTAAAATTCAATTCCACCTTTTTGCATGTTTGATTGACTAAATTTTCTATAGAATTGGTTTTCCACATTTTCTTGATTTTTGAGGAAAAACTTTTCCCATGGGTTTGGTAGGAAAAACTCTTATAGGCAGTTTTTTTTTTTCCAATTGAAACAATTCTATCTCCAATTGTAATAAATTATATCCTTTAATGGACAATTTTCATGGAAAATAAAGCCAAATGAACACCAAAAGATCCAAAATTTCAATATTTTTCAGGTGGAAAATTATACCAATCAAACACAATAATTGATAATTCTTAGTAAAACAAGTTCTAGATAATTCAATTCCCTGGAATTCATTTTCTTTCCACCCAAATTTCATTCTTACAATCAAACGAACCCTAAATGTTTCTCAATGCTTGATGGCAATTATCATTCCAAGCATCAAACTTGCTATATATACTATAAAAAATGTGTATCTAAATGTGTTGGGGTCCATCGTCCTAATGATCAACGAAAAAGCGCATTGAAATTATTTAGTAGATAAACTTTTCAATGTTTAGAAATACAACAAACGGCAAACTAAGCCTTTTTCCGTTTGGAGTTGAGTATGAGAATCTTTTTTTGTGTCAGAACAATGCAATCGGGGTGATCTCATTAAGCCTCTGTTTGGCGAAATTTATAAATTATTTATAAATTGTCAAACTTCATTGTCAACCACACATGCCAATGGATTCACAAGTAATATCCACTTATCCACCACTCATATATCTATCCTTAAATAATCTGTTGAAACAATCAATCCTTCATGTGATCATATTGCTACTAATCAAACTATCTTTTATCTTTAATGCTCTGTATTTGGTGTAGATCTCTAGTTCCAATATCATCATTACGCTCACCCTTGTATTTCTGGTTTTCCTGTAAGTTAGAGAATGACAATGTTTATCAAAAGTTTTTGAACGTAGTTTTTGCTATATAATTCTACTTGTCTATTTTTTCCCCTATAAACAAGGCGAGTTCTGTCATTTGAAGAAATCATAAATATCTGAGGGTGGGGTGGTGTGTATCTCCGTCGAATTTGGTGATTTTGAATGATGAAGAAATTAAGGACATAGGTTTAATAGGCTTAGTAATTCCGGGTTGGCAAAGGATCAACACATTTAGGTTCCTTTCAAAGTTGGTCAGAAATAAAAAGGCTTAGCTTAGAAAATTTCTTAAATTCAAAATTATTTAATGTTCATTCAAGCTCAGCTTCTTTAAGTAATAAATATTAAATTAGAATAAATTGATCAAACAACTTGAAATCTGCTTAAATTAGTTCATCAGAAGCACTTTAGAGCTTCAGTGTACTAGTAATAAGTGAGGCTTGAAATTTTTTTAGTCTCATTTTTCATTTATATGTTTTACTGATCTAAATTTTATGGATCTACATTCTAATTTACCAGCCCATAGTTTATATTCATGTTCCTTTGTTCTCGCATTGTGATGAAATAGAAGAGTTCGTGTATTTACCACCTGAATTTCCTGAACTTGTATAAACGGAAATCCACCCCAGCAATTTGAAGTTGAATACAACTTTTACTAGAACAAGATGAGCTAAACCTCTTTTGTCCCAAAATCTGACTTTGTTAAACATGGTTAGCAGGCCCTAAAAAATTGGTTTTTACTCCATATGAACACTGGCTGTGGTTCAACACATGTTCTATTTGGGAATTATGAGACTGATAGTGTACGAAGTCAGAGGGTACATGGGGTTTTATGCCTTTTGTTGTCAATCATTCTGAATGTCTATATTTTTTGAATGGTTACAATCTAACACGATATGGCCATGCGCTTGTGTAACGAAGGTGACTTGATTTAAATCATTTCATTAAATCATTTTAAATCAAATAACAAAAACAATAGAAAATGTCCTCTTTTAATTTAAAGGACCAGAGACGGATCCCGTGCCCTTATCTTTGTCATGTCACTTAGACATGGGCACTTCCTCCAAAGTGGAGAGTTCAAGAATCATAGGTTGGCAATGCTTTGTGGGTGATCTTTTATCATTGTAACACTTTCCTAAAGCACTTGTGTTTACTGAAGGTTCAAATGTTGATTTTGCAATTCTCCTAGTTGATTCTTTTTTCAGCACAGCTAAAGCTTATTCTATCAGCATCTACAACAATAACATAATAAGCTTTGGTAAAGATTTTTTACAACGAGAATAGATGTTCATGTGGAATTTAATAATTTGCATTCATTTACGAGAAATCGTTTAATTGCCTTGAAAGAAATTGGAGTTTAACAGTCCCATTGAGAGTTTCGCATTGTTATTTCTGCTGCAAAATTTACTAACGGATGCATTTCATTTGTTGTTTTCATTCCTATCTCTTTCTAGTGCGTTCTAAAAATCCTTATTTGTTATTTCTGCAGCCTGGTCCGAGAAACACCCTAATTCAGTGTTTCATAAAGAGGGATCGTAGTAACCAAACATATCGCCTTTACCTCAATTTGAATCAAGGTGAAAGCCACCGGATATTTCCATACGTTCCCAATTTATTTTACACTTACATTTGTCTATCTAATAATTTACGCATTAAATTAGAATACCAAGCTCCATTTTACACCTAATATGCATTTTTCACCCTTTTGCCTTTTGGCAGCTTCTAATGATGATGGGAAATTCCTACTTATTGCTCGAAGATGTAGAAGACCAACATATACAGATTACATAATATCTCTAAATGCTGACAATGTGTCAAAGGGAAGCAGCACCTACATTGGGAAGTTGAGGTAAATCGACTTTTATTTTGCATTATTTCTCCATAAATGGAATTGCAGATTAAATTTCATCATTTTTAACAATGGCAGATCTAATTTTTTGGGAACCAAGTTTATAATCTATGATGGACAGCCACCAAATGCTGAAGCCAGAGTCGCTAAATCTCGTTCCACAAGGTTAATTGGAATGAGACAGGTCTCTCCCAGGGTCCCTGCTGGAAACTATCCTGTGGCGCACATTTCGTATGAGTTGAACGTCTTGGGTTCAAGGTGAGAGATTAGTCCCTTTGTCATAATTATCTCGCGATGGACATTGTCAAATGAAATGAAAAACAACTTGCATTCTTAAAAATTGTGTTCAGTTTTAATAAAGAATTAGGCAGTTCCCCTTTTTATGTATTGATAAATATTGCTATGCCTTTTATAATATCTTGGGTGTCATCAGGTTCCAAAGCATGAATTGGATATGGACAGTTGCAATAAGATTATATTCTTTAGTAAAAAACCAAAATTTCATATTGTTGATATAGGGGTCCAAGGCGGATGCAGTGTGTCATGGATGCTATACCTGCTTCTGCTGTTGAACCAGGAGGTGTGGCTCCCACACAAACTGAATTTTTGGCTGGAAACTTAGATTCCTTCCCATCCCTCCCATTCTTCAGATCAAAATCAACTCGTACATATAGTTTTCCATCTGGATCGTTGTCGCCTGAAAGAGATGAAAGACTAGTTTTGAAAAACAAGGCTCCTAGATGGCATGAGCAACTCCAGTGTTGGTGTCTCAATTTCAATGGGCGTGTGACAGTTGCTTCTGTAAAGAACTTTCAGCTTGTTGTATCTATTAGGAACGGATCTGGTGGACAAGAGCTCGAGAATGTTATTCTCCAATTTGGGAAAGTGGGAAAGGATGTGTTCACCATGGACTATCAGTATCCAATATCTGCTTTCCAGGCATTTGCCATTTGTCTCAGCAGCTTTGATACCAAAATTGCCTGCGAATGACATCAGGTTCTATGCTATCCTTAATGCCTATATCTAAATTGACCATTAAAAATTGCTATTTGTTCTTTCACTTCTAGTACATATTTGTTGTCAGATGACTAAATATGTAGTTGCATTTGGGGTGGGATCAGACAACTTTACGCTTGAATCCCAAATCCATCAATTATACTTTGGAGGCCTTCTATTTCTAGTTATATTATAATCTTAGTAAAGACAAGTTAATGCATCTGTTTTCTAATAGTACAGTACTATGCGAATTGTTTCTAAAGGTTGCACCTTCTTCTTGTTATCTTCATATGATATTACTTGGCATAAAAATTTGTCTTATGTTACCATATCACAGTTGATAGCATTGACGAATCTAGGATTTAAGGCTAGGGTGACATAGATTGACAAGAACTATACTCGTGAATTTCCAAAAAATTTGAGGTAAAACCATATATTTTTTCTAAAGATTTTGTTAGAAATACGCTTTGCATATTAGAAACTCGGGCATCATACACCTGCCTCTTATCTGCCCCTGGTTGATGATGGAGCAGTCAACTCACTCACCACTAGCCTTAGATGATATCTGGGGCTGTAAATAGATCGGATTTGTCTATATCCGATCCGATAATCCAATGGATATTCGATTGTTAAATCCATATCTATTTTGCTATGTTATTGGATATTCGATTCGATAATCCGATCTGAAATTAAAGAAATTAGAAAAAAAAAATATAATGTTGGAATCAAATTTTTTATTTATTATTATTTTTTTTTTCCAATTCTTAAACGGGTTTAATAATTATAAATTTTTCAACTTTTTTATGTTTTGAATTTGATGACTTTTTTATTTTCTCATTTATTTATTTTAGTCACAAATAACATGCTATAAAAATATTTTACAGACAATTATTTATAACAAATCGGATCGGATCGGATTGACTTATATCCATATTTGATCCATTTAGTTAACGGATTATCGGATTCGAATCTTGATTGGGTTATCGGACTATGACCATAAATTCATCTCCTATTAATTAACATCGGATTCGGATCAAAATTCAATTCATTAACAGCTCTAATGATATCCCCACACATATATAGTGCCAATTGAGGCCATCTGCCATTTGACATTTAATTGACTACTAATGGTTTATTAGCTCACTTAAGGTTAATAGTCTTTAATAAAATGCAATTTCATCCTAGACTGCTTTTGATTTTAGATTCTCCTAACTCTTAGTTTGAACCTGGCAGGTTCAGCATGGGAGGCAATACGAGTGCTACATGCATACAATACCAGCAAATTTCAGTTGCTGCCCTTTTTTTTTTTTTTCCTTTTTAATGTGCGACTCTTTAAATTTCGGAGGACTTTTCGGTTTCTTTCCTCTTTTTCTTTTCTTGTTTGTTCCTGTACATAACTGCTCGAATCATTAACTCTTAGCTATTTGAGCTGTGTGATTTACAACCTTGTTCTTCTCTACCTGTTTATGATTTGGAATTGGGTTTTTACAATTGTTACCTCAACGAAAGTTGTCTTATATTGCAGATTTTTCCCATCTTATTCAAGAAGTTCGAGAAAAATCTTCTCTTTTTATCTCCAGTCAATTCTATCTTGTGTAAAGTTAGGTTTCACTTTTACCTGGACGGAGTGAATTGGAGACGATGAATCCCCGTGTCCTAAGTTAGTGACTTCGGATACAGTTGTATATTTTGCTTTTCTTTTTATTTCTTGTTTTTGTTTGTGGTTACGTAGAAATTTGTTCTAAACTAGTTCACAAGGCATAGAAATTAGGAATCATATACTGTGAGACGTATAGCCATGTGCATGATCAACCGTAATAGGATATGTTTATTATGATTTGGATTGGGGTGGACATGGTTCGGTTCGATTCGGTTCTCTTTCGTAATAGGATATGTTTATTAAGATTTGGACTAGGGTTGGACATAGTCTGGTTCGGTTCGGTTTTCTTCAGAATCAAACTGAACCAAAATTTGCGGATATTTAATAAATTGAACTGTTAGGTCCAAATATAATTATGGAATCGTTCGAGTTCGGTTCGGTTCAGTTCGGTTCAATTTCGTACTATAATTAAATTTTTTAAACAGATTTTTAATGGTCAACGATCGGTGGTCGTGGTTGAAGGTCGCTGTTTCAATGGGCAGTTGGAGAGGGGAAGTCGGACTTGACAATCGGCGGCTTCGATTTGGGCATGTAGATGTAGATTTTCAATTTATCAAATGATTTGGAGTCAGTGACTCGGTGGTTGCCGAATGAAAGTGTGAAATTGAAAAGAGAAAGATAAAAACTTAAAAAGACCTAGATCTTGGGTTAAGAATGAAATTAATAATTGGACCAAAAAATTGAATTTAGAAATTAGGTTGGGCAGGGCTAGCTAGGCACGGACTTGGCTTGGGAGTTAGAACATCAATCAATAAATTAGTTAATTTGCTAATTTGTTTAGAAAAAATTAAAAAAATTAATTAATTCAATATAAAAAATTAAAAAAATTATTTAAATTCAATTATTCCTTCTGGGTCTAGAACCGAGAACTGTACAAAACACACCGGTTCTCGATTCAGATACATGTTCGGGTATTTAATTTATGAAGAATCGTTCCGTTTGGTTTGGAAGTTTTGTCCAGCTCTAAGTTGGATTCACAAGTTTCGAAGAACTATTAAAAGTGATTGAACCATACAATGGGGATATTGATGGTGGAGAAGATCTTCTCCTTCCACGACAATGGCAGCGGTGATATAACAATGAACGTTACAAGTAGTAGGGTCGGCGGTAGCCACCATTTCCACTTTAATTTAATTTAAGATAGTGATCTATCTAATCTTTCTTTTTTTGTTTTTGGTGGACAGCATTAAGAATTATTGTAATATTTTATTTTTTTTATTAAAGTTTGATTAAATTTGCACGTTTTATTTTTCTAACATTGACTTTTTTCCTGGCCTAAACAAATTGACCAAAATCACATGTTTCTTCTGTACATTACTTTGTATTCAGATTATCTTTCCAATTAGCAGCTTAATCACGCAATTCGGTTCGTAAATAATTGTATTGATTTGACAAAAGTTGATCACATCACACGATAATCATATTGATTAGACATTTTTTAATTAACAATCAAGTTGATGATATGAGAATTAGGTAAATTCCGAGGAGACTTTAGGAAAATGTAAAACAACCCGATATCCACTAAAATAAAAAGAAAACATATGTTTAAAACCATGTCTTTATATATTACTAAGAAAAGGTATACAATTATAGGTCAAGAGTCAAAATATTCATTGAACAACGAAATTAATTATATTGTACAGTAGGGCTTGACAAAACTCCTGAACTGAATTGAACCGAACCGAGCGATTCTTTATAAGTTAAATACCCGAATGGGTATCTGAATCGAGAACCGACGAGTTTGGTTCAATTCTCGATTCTAGACTTAGAACCGAAGAAGAAACGAATTTAACTAATTGTTTTAATTTTTTATGTTGAATTAATTAATTTTTTTCTAAACAAATTAGCAAATTAACTGAGTCAATGATCCAAAATTATTTCATAAATTAAAAACCTGCATCTACATGCCCAAATCGAAATCGCTGACTGTCGAGTCCGACTTCCCCTCTCCAATGTCCATCGAAACCGTGACCTCCAAACATGACCACCAATCGTTGACCATTAAAAATTCGTTAAAAAAATTTAATTATGATACGGAACCGAACCCGAACGATTTCAAAATTATATTTGGACCCGATGGTTCCATTTATTAAATACTCGAAAATTTTGGTTTGGTTCGATTCTCTTCAAAACCGAACCGAATCGGACCATGTCCAACCATATTGTACAGACTGAAAATTTGTTTTCGATCATTGTGAAAAACCCAAAAAAAGAAAAAAAATTGTAATTGATAATGTCAAAACTGATCACCCAAGAACTCGACCTTCAACTTCGTATGCTTGATGTTTTCCTAGCTTGTCATGGGAACTACCTTTACCTTGAGGACCCGAGGTTGCCACTTAAGACTTCCCCCATCAATGAAACTTGAGGTACAACCACGAGGTCTAGATATACCCTCGAGGTCTTCAAGCTTGAAGTATGACATGGTGCCTAAGGTGTGACTCAACAAGGAACAAACTAACTCCACGTGAAATAAAGGTTTACCCTCCAACACTAACTTAATCCAATACTTGTTTTTATCCCATAATTATAGAAAGCAAAAATGAGTATCTAATTCTCAACACAAACCTAGAAATGACCAAAAAAAAAAAATTCCTTTCAACTCACGACTCAGTGAGTCTCATCCCCCATGGGACGGGGATTACCCGTCTAACCGGGTAAACGGGGCAAGACGAAGCAAATGTCATTGTCCTAAAGCGAATACAGGGTGGGTATGGAAAATATAGTCCCCAACCTGCTACCCGTCCCATTTAAATCTTTTATCAAACAAAAATAAAAGATTTATCATCATTTTTTGTAAGAGAACATAAGTTGTTCTTAACAAATTGGAAAAAAAAAATATTTACTAAGACATAAGAAATAAAAGCAAAAAATGAAACGGGGTGATAAATGGGGCTGGGTCCACTTCGATCTGATCCCGCCCCAAATCCGTTAGTCCCGCTTTAACCGAATATGGGACATGATAAGGTGATAAAAATATTCAACTGCACGAGATGGAAATGGCCGACCCGTCTCATATCCACTTTGTTGCCATCCCTACACAAATCTTAATAAGTGGGTACGGGATGGGTATGGGTAATATAGTCCTTGACCTGTTACCTGTTCCCGTTTATAGTTAATTTCAAATTTAACTTTTTTATCACACAAAAATAAAAGATTTACCAATATTTTTGAAGAAAACATAAGTTGTTTTTAACAAATTGAAAAAAATTAATAATATTTACTAACTAAAGACATAAAAAATAAAAGCAAAAAATAAAATAAATGAAAAACAAAAAAATAAAATAAACGGGGCGATAAATAACTCATCTGTCCTGCTTTAACCGGATATGAAGACGGGGACAAAATGATAAAAATACTCGATGGGACAAGAGTCGAAATAATCGACTCATCCCATATCGATTTTGTTGTCATACTCACACAAACCTCAATAAGCACACCAATTCAATACTATCTTAACCTTGCGACAAGAACAAAGTAGCTCAAATTTAAGCTAATTAAACAAAATGACATTCGAACTTCTTAAAGTGACTATAAGTTTTAAACTAAATCAAATTAGGCCAATCGAATTTGAAAATAACTTAAAAGTAGAGTCATCTCCGGTTCCTTTCAGTTCGATTCTTCAACATCCCATTATTAGAATTTTTCTCATAAGCGACAAAATTGAGGATTATCAAAAGGTGAAGTTTGTGAATTTCTTAAGAGGAAAGAATCAACGAAGTAGGTGTACCCAAGATTACGTTCTTAGGGCGTGTTTCGATTATCACTGTATCATATCACGCCGAGAACTTTAAGAAAGTTTCTAACGAACTGAGAAAAGTAGGCCAGAAAAGTCCAACTGTGGCCCACTGGGCCCACTTCTGAGGTAAGTTCAACTATGGACCCCTCGTTACATCACTACTAGCCTTGGTTCATGGCTCTCACCTGATTTTAATATGAGGAAACTTTTAATTGTAAAAAATATATATTTTTTAATTTTTAAAATCTTTTTCTTTATGAATTGTTTGTTTATTTAAACGAAATCCAAGAGTTTCTCCTTTTTTATTTCTTCAAAAATTTCCCATTTTTAATTTTTTTTATTGTTTTGTTTAAAATATATGTTGAACTACTTTTTTACTTTTAACCAATAAAAAGAAAAAGTTGTTTATTTCAAAAACTTATTTACTTTTGAAACTTAGCCAAACATGCCGTTAAACCTTTTTAAAAAGTAGCACATTTTTCTCTTCATCCATTGCCACTCTTATGAAACCTTTTTAGGATTCGGATTCTCTCCCTTAGACTCCTACAAAGCTTTTAAACTTTGGATGCATTGTCACTTTTTAAATTTCAAATAAATCATGCATTTGAATTGAATTAAATTAAATTATCCTGTCTTATTTCTTGCATCTTTTGAATAATTTGCACGACTGAAAAAGGTAAAATAAATTTTTAATTCAATTTTCGAATGATTAGTAGATTGAAAATATCAGGGATGTTTGTATTACGTTCATTCATTTATTCTTACATTGATGATAATTGTCTTCCTCCAACTTTTGCTATCAAAAAATAAAAAGAGATAATCGAGAAAGAGTTTGTTGGGTTAGATTTTATAAAGACAGGTAGAAGACTGTAGTAGATTCTTCCAACGAAGCCCTAGTGACTAGATCTCGAGATACGAATCC